AGTTCTGTTTGTTCTGTTCTAGTTCTGTTCTAGTTCTGTTCTAGTTCTGTTCTAGTTCTGTTCTAGTTCTGTTCTAGTTCTGTTCTAGTTCTGTTCTAGTTCTGTTCTAGTTCTGTTCTAGTTCTGTTTAGTTCTGTTCTAGTTCTGTTCTAGTTCTGTTCTAGTTCTGTTCTAGTTCTGTTCTAGTTCTGTTCTAGTTCTGTTCTAGTTCTGTTCTAGTTCTGTTCTAGTTCTGTTCTAGTTCTGTTCTAGTTCTGTTCTAGTTCTGTTTCTAGTTCTGTTCTAGTTCTGTTCTAGTTCTGTTCTAGTTCTGTTCTAGTTCTGTTCTAGTTCTGTTCTAGTTCTGTTCTAGTTCTGTTCTAGTTCTGTTCTAGTTCTGTTCTAGTTCTGTTCTAGTTCTGTTCTAGTTCTGTTCTAGTTCTGTTCTAGTTCTGTTCTAGTTCTGTTCTAGTTCTGTTCTAGTTCTGTTCTAGTTCTGTTCTAGTTCTGTTCTAGTTCTGTTCTAGTTCTGTTCTAGTTCTGTTCTAGTTCTGTTCTGTTTCTAGTTCTGTTCTAGTTCTGTTCTAGTTCTGTTCTAGTTCTGTTCTAGTTCTGTTCTAGTTCTGTTCTAGTTCTGTTCTAGTTCTGTTCTAGTTCTGTTCTAGTTCTGTTCTAGTTCTGTTCTAGTTCTGTTCTAGTTCTGTTCTAGTTCTGTTCTAGTTCTGTTCTAGTTCTGTTCTAGTTCTGTTCTAGTTCTGTTCTAGTTCTGTTCTAGTTCTGTTCTAGTTCTGTTCTAGTTCTGTTCTAGTTCTGTTCTAGTTCTGTTCTAGTTCTGTTCTAGTTCTGTTCTAGTTCTGTTCTAGTTCTGTTCTAGTTCTGTTCTAGTTCTGTTCTAGTTCTGTTCTAGTTCTGTTCTAGTTCTGTTCTAGTTCTGTTCTAGTTCTGTTCTAGTTCTGTTCTAGTTCTGTTCTAGTTCTGTTCTAGTTCTGTTCTAGTTCTGTTCTAGTTCTGTTCTAGTTCTGTTCTAGTTCTGTTCTAGTTTCTGTTCTAGTTCTGTTCTAGTTCTGTTCTAGTTCTGTTCTAGTTCTAGTTCTGTTCTAGTTCTGTTCTAGTTCTGTTCTAGTTCTGTTCTAGTTCTGTTCTAGTTCTGTTCTAGTTCTGTTCTAGTTCTGTTCTAGTTCTGTTCTAGTTCTGTTCTAGTTCTGTTCTAGTTCTGTTCTAGTTCTGTTCTAGTTCTGTTCTAGTTCTGTCTAGTTCTGTTCTAGTTCTGTTCTAGTTCTGTTCTAGTTCTGTTCTAGTTCTGTTCTAGTTCTGTTCTAGTTCTGTTCTAGTTCTGTTCTAGTTCTGTTCTAGTTCTGTTCTAGTTCTGTTCTAGTTCTGTTCTAGTTCTGTTCTAGTTCTGTTCTAGTTCTGTTCTAGTTCTGTTCTAGTTCTGTTCTAGTTCTGTTCTAGTTCTGTTCTGTTCTAGTTCTGTTCTAGTTCTGTTCTAGTTCTGTTCTAGTTCTGTTCTAGTTCTGTTCTAGTTCTGTTCTAGTTCTGTTCTAGTTCTGTTCTAGTTCTGTTCTAGTTCTGTTCTAGTTCTGTTCTAGTTCTGTTCTAGTTCTGTTCTAGTTCTGTTCTAGTTCTGTTCTAGTTCTGTTCTAGTTCTGTTCTAGTTCTGTTCTAGTTCAGTTCTGTTCTAGTTCTGTTCTAGTTCTGTTCTAGTTCAGTTCTGTTCTAGTTCTGTTCTAGTTCTGTTCTAGTTCTGTTCTCGTTCTGTTCTAGTTCTGTTCTAGTTCTGTTCTAGTTCTGTTCTAGTTCTGTTCTAGTTCTGTTCTAGTTCTGTTCTAGTTCTAATTCTGTTCACTTCTGTTTTGGTTATATCCTTCACATTTGTTCGTCATTTAGTTTGTAATTTATACAGTTCCGAGTCCTTATAGATAACATACTCGATTTAGCCACGTCCGTCTGTATGCCCGTATATATTCTGAAATCAGTTTTCAGATGTTTGCGAGATCCGAATCGTTAATAATTGTGTAAGACAAGATTTCGGGAAGATCACTATTTAAAATCAGCATAATCGGCCTATAAATTACTCAAATATGAGCAAAATTCCGAAACGACCCATGAAAATATAACATTTTTTCCTTCTTGATTAGCTTTTTTAGGAAACTATGCCAACTATTGCAACAAATTTTCTCACAAGTATTTTCTTTCGTACAGGTATTAACATGGCTTAATAATTACATATACATAGCTCCTACATAAATTTACATACTTCCGGAATATTAATTTATTGTTAATAATTCCCTCTAGAATATCGGTATTACTACAAAATTTTGCAAATATACATCTAATATCAACTAAATCCTAGATGGGTCCATAATTAATCATAGCTCCTTCATTAACAAATGATAATATCGGGAAAATTTAATTCGAGGTGTTTATATAAAATTAGACTATAGGTGAATATTCGGCGTAGCCGAATATGGGACTCTATCATGTTTTTATTTAAATCAATTATATATTTGCTCTTAAAAGATTTCGAGTCATTACACTCAACTCGTTTATTTTATTATAAAATCAACATTTTCCAAAAACACAACTCTTTGTATCATCGCTATAATGAGTGCCCGCTGGACATTCGTTCGGAACCAATAGTCCGTTAACACAAACAAAATACGAGTAACAATCATAGGGATTTGGAGTTAAATCACTACCACGTACACAAGTCTTAATTTCTGGTACAGCAGTTGGTGCAGGTGGTGGTGCCACAGTCGAAGATATATAGGGAACACATTTGTTGTTAACAAAAATATAACCATTCTGACAACGATACAATACAGGATAACGTACTACATTGCCGCCCATATTTGTAGCGTGACACACATAATAAATGCTAGAATCCGTAGGCCAAGCACCCATTTGTCCCAGTTCTTTACACTCATACTGTGGCTTCAAACAAATGTCAGTTTCTGGGGTTAGGGAACAAGTCTTGCTGGCTGGTGAATAGGCTGTACCACTGGGACATATTAAACGTTCTCCTTCATTCTTATTATCGCATACATGATAGTATTTACAATCATAGGGATCGGGAAAGATGCCTGAATTTTGACATTCAAATTTAGGACCTCTACTGCTTTCTTTGCAGGTCTGCTTGAAAACACAACCACGAGCCTCCTCGTCACAATACAAATTATGTTCAGTTTGACACTCGCTTACTTTTAGTGTGGTCCAGTCGCCACCTTGTTGCAAACAAAAAGCTAAAGTGCCACAATCTTGACAAATAAACTGACCATTGCGTATATCATCGCAGGGATTTTGAACCGTACTAAAAGGATCTATTAGCTCGGAATATTGTTTACCCCATGAGAGTGTTAATGAAACTAAAAGCTGAAGACAAAAATAAACATAAATGTTTACAAGAAACTATTTAGGTTTTTTGAACTTACCAAGAGAGGTAGTATGCCGTTTTTCATTTTGTCTGAATCCCAAAATGAAACTGTTGGTATTTTATGTTTAATGTGTGGTTTATATATTAAGTTGTCGACTTTTTTTCTGGATACTAAGTTCTTATCAAATTAATTACTTGCTGTTTAAAAATCTAAATTATTGATTAAAAAATGCCAATTCCATTTTTATCATCATTTTCATCATTTAGTTATAAATAGAGTTATTATTAAGGGGTTTCTTTCGTCAGTTTCTATTTAGTTCAGTTGTATTTCTAGATTTACAAAAACTAGGCTTACATATGGGGATAATCTCTTTTGTTTCCCAATCTTTTTCTGGGTTTTTAGATTTGGCGGGCTTATGAAGCGTCAGAAAATTTTGTTTGTAATACGGTTCTTGATTGAATTACGAATGAGAGTGTGAATAAAGAATAATTGTTTCGTGTGAACATGACATAAGGTAATTCAAACTGAATAAGGTATTTTTTTATAATATTTATTGCGGTATAATATGGTTGGTTAATACACATGGTTAATATGGTTAATACAATAATTTGGATATAGATAGTAGATAATAATTCGCGAAACATGTAATTCGATTCGAATTACAAATAAAAGCGTGATTTACGAGTAAACGTTTCGTATGAATAGATATTACATTTTCCAAAAATACAACTCTTTGAGTCATCGTTATAATGAGTGCCCGTTGGACAGGTGGTGGAAACCAATAGACCATTAACACAAACAAAATACGAATAACAATCATAGGGATTAGGAATAATACCACTTCCACGTATACATGTCATAATTTCTGGTACAGTAGTTGGTGCAGTTGGTGGTGCTTCAGTCGACGATGTATAGGGAATACATTTGGTGTTAACGAAAACATAACCGCTCCGACAACGATACAACGCCGGATAACGTACTACATTTTCGTCCACATTCGTAGAATGACAAACATAATAAATGCTGGGATCTGTTGGCCAAGCACCCATTTGTCCCAGTTCATTACACTCATATTGGGGTTTCAAACAGATGTCGGTTTCTGGGGTCAGAGAGCAAGTTTTACTGGCCGGTGAATAGGCTGTACCACTGGGACATATAAAACGTTCACCTTCATTACTATTATCGCACACATGATAATATTTACAATCATAGGGATCGGGAAAGATGCCACCATTTTGACATTCAAATTTAGGACCTCTATTGGGCTCCTTGCACTTATGTTTGAAAATGCAACCGCGAGCCTCCTCGTCACAATACAAATTATGTTCAGTTTGGCACTCGGTTACTGTCAGTGTTGTCCATTCACCATCTTGTTGCAAACAAAAAGCTAATGTACCACAATCCTGACAAATAAACTGACCATTGCGTATATCATCGCAGGGATTTTGCACCCTACTAAAAGCATCTATCAGCTGGGAATATTGCGTGGCCCATGAAACCTTTAAAGAAGCTAAAAGCTAAAAAAAAATTATATTAGTTAAAATTTTAAGGATATTTAGATTTATAATCTTACCAAGAGAGGTAGTATGCCGTTTTTCATATTGTTTGATTTCCACTTGAAACTGTTAACATTTTATGTTTAATATGTGGTTTATATATTAAAAATATAGCATTTTTTTGGATACCAAACTCTTATCAAATTAATTACTTGCTTTTTAAATACTCAGTAATAATTAATCAATATTTAAAAAATTGAAATTGCATTTTAATCGTGATTTACAAAGTTATAAAGCTTTACCCAGTGTGCTTTGCTACCCTAAAAGCAGTATAAATAAAAAACCCACTTGAAGATTCTAACTGCAATAGTTCTCTAGATTTACAGTATGTTACATATTAGCGATGCCAAGCAAATTACTGAAAGTTCGCCAATTTCTATCTATCTATGAAAAATTTGAATAATATAATAGTTTCCAAGATATACGAAATTTCGTATTTAATTAATTTATGTAGTGTCAAGCCCCCAATTGAAAGCTCGCCCGTTATTCTCTAAATGTTCACATGAATGTCAGAGTTTTTTATGTAAAATTTTAAGATTCTAGCTCTAGTAGTTTCCAGATATACAATTTTTCTATTTCATTCATGAAAGTCCGATCTTTTTCCTCCAAAATATTCAGATGATTATTGAAGTAATTTCTGCAAAATTTGAAGAATCTAGTTGTATTAGTTTTCCAGTTAAACGAAATTTTATATTTAAGTCATATGGGAGTTGTCAAGTTCGCCATTGAAAGTCCGCCCGTTATACTCGAATTGTTCAGATGAATGTCAAAGTTTTTCAAGTAAAATTTGAAGATTCTAGCTCCAATAGTTTCTAAGATATACGATTTTTTCTAATTAATTCATATGGGGGCTCCACGCCCCCCCCCCCTATGAAAATCCGCTCGTTTTCCCCCAAAATGTTCAGTTGAATATTAAAGTAATTTATGCAAAATTTGAAGAATCTAGTTCTATTAGTTTCCCAGATAAATGAATTTTTGTATTTAATTAATATGGGAAGTGCCAAGTCCCCCATTTAAAGTCCGCCAATTATTCCCTAAATGTTCACATTAATGTCAAAGTACTTCATGTAATATTTAAAGATTCTACATCTAATAATTTCTCAGATATAAGAATTTTTCTACTATGTATATTCATGTGGGGGTTTCAAGCCCCCAAGATAAAAGCCCGCCCTTTTTTCTCAAAATGTTTAGATGAATATTAAATTAATTTGTGCAAAATTTGAAGAATCTAGTTCTATTAGTTTCCCAGATAAACGAAATTTTGTATTTAATTAATATGGGAGGTACCAAGTCCCCCATTGAAAGTCCGCCCGTTATACTCTAATTGTTCAGATGAATGTCAAAGTTCTTCAAGTAAAATTTTAAGATTCTAGCTCTAATAGTTTCTCAGATATACGAATTTTTCTATTTAATTCCAAGCTCCAAGCCCCCCCCCCCCCCCCAGATGGAAGTCCGATCTTTTTCATCCAAAATGTTCAGACGAATATTTAAGTTCTTAGTGCAAATGTTGAAGAATTTAGTTCTATTAGTTTCCCAGATAAACGAATTTTTGCATTTAATTAATATGGGAGGTGCCGCTACCCTCATGGGTAGTCCGCCAATTTATTTCCCAAAATGTTAACATGGATGTTAAAGTTATTTGTGCAAAATTTTAAGATTCTAACTGTAATTGTTTCTAAGATAAACGAATTTTTGTTTTTAATTTATATGGGAGGTGCCACGCCCCCTAATGCTAGCCCGCCTACTTTTTGTCCTAAATAATCATATTGACACTAAAGTGGCTCCGACAAAATTTGAGGACTCTAAATGTTATATTATCTCAAATATACGGATTTAATATTTTCTAATATGGGCGTGGCACCTCGCCCATTTAAAATTTCAAAATAAAAAGTACCCTATTACCTATTCCAGACATACAGGAATACGCTGTGAAAATTTCAAGAAAATCGGTTCAGCAGTTTTGTAGTCTATAACGTTCAAACATACAAACAAACACACATTCATTATACCCTACACCACTTTAGTGGGGAGGGTATATTGGATTTGTGCTGATGTTTGTAACATATAAAAATATTCGTCCACCTTAAAGTATACCAATCGGCTTAGAATCGTTTTCTGAGTCGATTAAGCTATGTCCGTCCGTCCGTCCGTCCGTCTGGCTGGCTGGCTGTCCATGTAAAATGGTTAAAATCGGTCCATTATTTCACCTAGCCCCCATAGAACAGAACCCCCCGAAAAGGGCTTCTGAGCTCATAATTATGTTAAATATACAGATATATCGATAAACGGCATAACTAAGTTTTATAGAAGTCTTGATAACCCTGCCAAATTTCATAAAGATCGGGCCCCATTTGACCCTAGCTCCCATCAGTGATGCCAAGTGTAGGGATTTTTCCCTTTTTGTAGGGATTTTTTTCAAAAATTTCACGTGTAGGGAAAAAGGGAAAGATTTCTTACTATTGTCAAATTGTAGGGATTTTTCAATTTCATAGTTTTTAACAACTAAAAATATACTCTTTCATGTATTAAACTTTTAAATTAAAAATGAAATCAGTTTTAAGTGTATCGTTAGTAAAAATTCCGCTTGTAATTTCTACAATATATGTGCCTACATATCGCTACAAGACTGGCATAATCCAAAATTCGGCTTTCTTAAACTAAGGTCTTCAAAACATGCGACATACTAAAATCTTTCATATAGATTTATGAAATTTCAAATATGTCTATTATTTTCGATATGAAATCGATTTTTTGTAAACGTAAAAACTAAAACCCACGTTTTTGTGAATATTAGACAACTAAAAATTTAATTTCAATTTAGATGAGAAACATATTAACCTCAACTATCTGAATCTGGATTTTTAAAACCCCTTGATTTGTTTAAAAGTTATTAAAAAAATAGTTAAATGTCATTAAATATACATATCCTTTTTTTTGAAACGACTTTTTGGATTATGCCAATCCTGTAGGGCGATATATTCTGACTCCTTATAGATAGAGTAGTCGGGGGCTTAATGCAGTAACTCAGGATTGAAAAAATGAATTTAATGTTCTGAAAATTTATAAAAGTAAACCGCAAAAAGTAAACGCAAAAGTAAACCTTATTTAAAATAATTATTTTATGAAAATTTTTTTGTTGGAGGCACATAAAATAAATTTTTATCACGATTCGATATACTACCATAAATCTTTCAATTGTTTTTTTTTTAATCTTAACTGAAGAGTCAGGGTTGGAAGATTTGTATGATGTAAAATTGAAAGAAAAAAAAATTAAAATTTAAATTCTAGAAATTTCATTCCTAAAAATTAAAAAAAAAAAATACATACATATATGTATATTATAAAACGGAGCTAATATTTTAGTTTTTGATGTTATTTTTGTATTTTTTTAAGATAAACTTTGAAAAAAATGGAAAAAAGTAGTGTAGGGAAAAATGTAGGGAAAATAAAAAGTGTGTGTAGGGAAAAAAGGGATTTTTTCTCATAAGCGTAGGGATTTCTGAAAAAAATCTCCTGGCATCACTGGCTCCCATACAAAGTCCCCTTCAGAAAATTACTTGAATGTCCCAAATTAACTTATAAACACAAATATCGCGATGAAATTCAGCACAATAAAATATTATGTAAATATAAATATATTCACAAAATTTTATCGGGCTTGGTCCATATTTGCCCCTAGCCCCCATATAAAGCCTCTTTCAGAAAATTAGTTTTTCATCCATAAATTGTTTAAATGTATCGGAACAAGGGAATATTGAAGATAAATGCGATATTATGAAAAATAAATCACATTTAATATTCATAACTGGTGTAGGGTATCATATGGTCGGCCACGCCCGACTATACTTTCTTACTTGTTTTTATATGTATATATGTAGATGTAGATTAAGGCATTGTATTTTTCTTAAAAATACAATACTTAAATATGTCTTTTAGAAAGCCCACGAATCGAAGTCCTAGCATTTTATTATTTTCATCTTTCGAATACCATTTTAGAGGTTATTGGCAAAAAAGTATGTATATCCTAAACTTCCAACATTTTGATTGAAATTTGTTTGCTATTTATTCGACTGTAAATTTCTTTTAATTTTGAACAAAATTTTCTCTAATTAATCTTAACCAGAAACGCTTATAAATCTTTTGAATTATAATTAAATTAAAAAAAAAATCACTCACCTTATTTAACACTTTTGTTTCATTTCTGCCAACAATATTAATTCCTCTTTTCAACAAACTTTTAATTAGCTTTTTATTCACTTTTTTATTTTTGCTCTTTTATTTCAAAGCTTTTTTATATACTTTTACAACTTTTTTAATTTCTTAGCTTTTTTTCTTACAAAGATCTACACTTGATTTCCTTCTCATTTCCTTTACTATAATTGAAAGCTTTTACTTATTTGAAATTATTTTACTTCTTCATTTTTCTTTACAAAACTTATAAAAGCTTTTCTTTTCTCATTAACAACCTTTTTTACCACTTTCCAACCAACCAACCAACTAACCAATGCACTTAACACACTCCCCCTGCCCGCACACCAACTCACACTTATTAACAACGAATGGCCAAACTAAAGCAACAAACCGATCGGCTTTTGCATTTTTTAACAGCTTTGCTACACTGTTTTTTACTAATTTACAAGTTACTTCTTAACAATATTTTTACACACAAGGATTAACAAACATTTAAATTTCATATTTATGTAAAAATATTAACAATTTCTTAACTTTTAACCGGATTTATCAATAAATTTAACGTCCACTAATTACCAAACAACCGAACACTTGCGAAATTTATAGAAAACTAAACGAGAAAAATGCAAGTTATGTTTCTATTGCTATTGTTGTTGTTGTTGCTGCTGTCATTATTTGATTGTATGTAAATATGTATGTAATGTGTTTGTTGTTATTTTATTTTGCTGTTAGAGATGCGTAAACAGATTAAGAGCAAGATGTTAAGGAAATTTATTAGTGAATGTCAAATCGGAAATATTTAGTAAAATGTTAATAAAGGAATAATGACAGGGTTGAGATTTTGTGTTGCTTGTGGTATATATTAAGGCGAATGCAAATATGTAGTTAATTTGAAAAAAAGTGAGAATGATAAAATTACATAATTTATTTTGATGGAAAATCGAGTTGTAAGAACATTTTTACTTCATCTTTCGGTTTTATCAAAGTAAAACTACCGGGTTATTCGGAAAATCAACATTTAGAAATGTCAGATTTTAAACCGAGTGAAAAACCTAGTCTAATACCCTAATACTAGGGTTCTATGGTTGAAAGAAAAAGTCGACTTTTCGACTTTTTGTATTTTGACTTGCGATTTATGAACTTTTTCCGATTTTTTTAATATTTTCAACTCATCGACTTTTTCCGATTTTTATCGACTTATCGACTTTTTTCGATTCTTTGACTTTTTTTCTTACAAGATAGGCGACTTGTCGATTTCGTTAAAAAAAAAAGCGACTTCGACTTTTTTCCACAAAAAGTCGATTATTTTAAAGTCAATTTTTACATTGTGCTCCTAATCTATTTACGCACTCTAAAATATTCTCCCCCACCACCCAACACAATAAAATTACAATAAACACATTACATACATACATGTACATATATGCATACAATTTAGTACAAATCAAATAATGACAGCAGCAACAACAACAACAGCAACAGAATCTTTACTTGCATTTTTCTCTTTTAGTTTTCTATAATTACGATTGTTTTCGTTGATTAGTGGTCGTTTAATTAATTAATAAATCCGGTTTTAATTAATTAATTGTTAATATTTTTGCATAAATATAAATTTTTTATGTTTGTTAATATTTCTGTGTAAAAATATTGTTAAAAAATAACATGTAACATCATGTAGTTTGGCCATTCGTTGTTGTTAATAAATAGTATGTAAGTATGGATGTGCGGGGAATGTGTTAAGTGCAACAGTTAACGAGAATAAAGGTTTTGTGTGAAGCAAAGAAGAGGAAAAAGCTTTTATAAGTGTAGTAAAGGAAATGAGGAAATAAAATAAAATTTAATAATAAGCTTTCAAATGTAGTAAAGGAAATAAAATGTTGATCTTTTAATGAAAAGAGCTAAAATAATGAGTAAATAAATAAACGTGAAAACTAAAGCTGAGAAAAATAGAAAATAAATATAAAAAGCAAATGAAAAATCAGTAAATGAGAAAAAAATATAAGGAAAAATACATATTGTGAAAATAATTAATTAATTATAATTAGTTCAGTTCTAAAACAGTACCAGTTCATTTCTAGTTCAGTTCAAGTTCAGTTCCAGTTCAGTTCTAGTTCAGTTCTAGTTCAGTTCTAGTTCAGTTCTAGTTCAGTTCTAGTTCAGTTCTAGTTCAGTTCTAGTTCAGTTCTAGTTCAGTTCTAGTTCAGTTCTAGTTCAGTTCTAGTTCAGTTCTAGTTCAGTTCTAGTTCAGTTCTAGTTCAGTTCTAGTTCAGTTCTAGTTCAGTTCTAGTTCAGTTCTAGTTCAGTTCTAGTTCAGTTCTAGTTCAGTTCTAGTTCAGTTCTAGTTCAGTTCTAGTTCAGTTCTAGTTCAGTTCTAGTTCAGTTCAGTTCTAGTTCAGTTCTAGTTCAGTTCTAGTTCAGTTCTAGTTCAGTTCTAGTTCAGTTCTAGTTCAGTTCTAGTTCAGTTCTAGTTCAGTTCTAGTTCAGTTCTAGTTCAGTTCTAGTTCAATTCTAGTTCAATTCTAGTTCAGTTCCAGTTCAGTTCTAGTTCAGTTCTAGTTCAGTTCTAGTTCAGTTCTAGTTCAGTTCTAGTTCAGTTCTAGTTCAGTTCTAGTTCAGTTCTAGTTCAGTTCTAGTTCAGTTCTAGTTCAGTTCTAGTTCAGTTCTAGTTCAGTTCTAGTTCAGTTCTAGTTCAGTTCTAGTTCAGTTCTAGTTCAGTTCTAGTTCAGTTCTAGTTCAGTTCTAGTTCAGTTCTAGTTCAGTTCTAGTTCAGTTCTAGTTCAGTTCTAGTTCAGTTCTAGTTCAGTTCTAGTTCAGTTCTAGTTCAGTTCTAGTTCAGTTCTAGTTCAGTTCTATTTCAGTTCTAGTTCAATGATTTCAAAATTTATTGGTTTTTTGATATTAATTTATATCCTTGTTTATTACTTTTCCACATTTTTAACTATTCGCTGTAATACATTTTCAACAAATAAATGTATTTACATAAAATCATTTTATTATAATTATTATGACTACAACATAATATTAAACATTTTAGTATCATTAAAATAAAGTGTTTTTTTTACAAAATTAACTAAATTTTAAACACTTGAAAATCACATACTACTAACTAATGTCCGCTTTAACAACATCTTGTTCCTTTAAACTTTCTACCGATTCATCAGCTTCATCTGCCACACCAGAATCATTTTTAGAGGATTCCTCAAATAATTTCGCCTTTGCACGTCTAGATTTTATGAGTATGCCATGGCCGGGACAATCGTTATCTTCCGTATAACATTTTTCACGACAACAAATACGGCAAAGACGAAATTCACACTTAAAACCCATGGGATTATTGCATTGATCGCAGTTTTCTAAATTACGTTCATGTTTGCCTTCGGGTTTATTAGGACGACGCATACGTCTTCTTAGTTTCTTCATGCGTTTACGTGAAATCTCCTGGCCGTCGTTGTCAAAATAATGGCGTTTCTCACGATTGGGATCTTCAGCTAAACGTACTTTTTCTGCGATAATTTGTTTATGCATTTCTGGAGGCACTCTTATATAGGGCTGACACAACCAAGGAGGTAAGGCCAAATTAGCACCCAATGGCTGTTGCATTACACTAGGATCCACTTCTTCCATTTCATACACCTCTTGACCCTCGTGATAGGGTTCATATTTTGTTTTAATCTTTTGCACCACATCACGAAACTTTTGCAAATCATTGGCCACTGCCAATTCCTCTCTAAGTTCACTATTGGGTTTTAAATTCATGATATGATGGAATATCTTAAACATATGACCTCTGATGTAGGAAATAGGACAGGGATATTTCTCCACATAGTTTAGATAATCTTCAGCCATTTCCCAGGTTTTAGGTGAAATACCACAAAATAAGGCGGGATTATGTAAATTACCCTCGGCAGTCATAACGCCATCAACACCAGTCTCCAGCAGACATCTTTTTATATCTTCCAAACATAGAATATTGCCATTAGCAAACATAGGTATTTTTATATGCTGGCGCACCTCCCGTATATAACTCCAATCTGCTATCCCAGTTAGGGGACCCTTTTGTTCTCTCGTTCTGCCATGTACGGTCAGTAATTGACATCCTGCTTTTTCCAACAATTGAGCATAACGTATAGTCTTATCACGATCTTCAAATATGCGTATTTTACAGGTTACCGGCACTTTTAGATTTACATGTAACGTTCTAACAATTTCCTCCAACAGCGGCCATTCATCCTGCAAAAATGAACCATAATGACCACGTCGTGCTATGGCCTGAGGGCAACCCAGATTTATATCAACCGCATCACAGTAATCTTGTGCCAGTACAGCTGCCTCCAGTAGTGTTTTGGCATCATTACCACAAAATTGTATTATCAAGGGACGATCTTCGGCACAAGTTTGCAAGGCATCTTTACGGTATTTAGGATCATTGGCAAAGAGATTACTGTGGAACATGGGTGAATAGCATAATTCAGCTTTATATTTGCGACATAACATACGCCAAGCTAGTTCACTTTGATCCACCATTGGTGCCACAACAAATTTGGGTGAATGCAATACTTTGTGGTAGAAATCATAACCGCCTAATTTTTCGTATTTGGGTTTCATATCACTATTCAGTTGCTCACTATCGTCCGACATATTTTGTTTAGTTAAATGAAATTAAAATGTATTATTATTTTGTTTTCTTTTAAAGGAAAATCAACAAATTGTTGCAAGTTTTATCACTATAAATAAAAATAATCAAACGTAAACAAGCACGTTTCTCTTTATGACGTTTATAGCTGTCAAATTAACATAAGAGAAAAGTAAACACAATCAATGTTACATTTTTAACATTTTAGCGATTTTCATGTGCAATAACCCTGCATCTTCGTAAGAAGGGTATTTATAAATTATAATTACAATCAATTAGGAATAACTGATTATAACTATCCAGACACAAAATTCTTCAAATCATTTTCTATAGAAAGTCGAGGTGATTTTAGGAAACTATGAACGTCTTAGAATTTTTTTGCAGAATTTATTTTTCACTGGTTCAATGGCAATATTTGAATGGAAATTGTATGTAAGCCATGGAACCACTCCAAAAAAATTTTAAAGTATTTACAAAATTATATTTTTGTGCAGAGGATTTAGAATTTACTTGCTGAATTGTAGTATTTTGTAATTTTCATTGCAATTTTGCTTATCCTAGACACAACGCAGTGTTGTATTAGCAAATCTTGTTCGAAGAAATATATTTTCGACATGTTTTAAATTAAATCTAGTAGATTGAGTAGATTTGGATTTGTCAAAAATGTATGGCAAATCTACATGATTTCAACTAGTTTTGCCCAAATCCACTAGATTTGCTCAAAACGCCTCAGTGGAAACATAGCATAACTAGATTTGGATGTGTCAAAAATGTATGGGAAATCTACATGATTCCAAATCAACTAGATTTGCTCAAAACGCCTCAGTGGAAACATAGCATTAAGAAGAGTTTTTAAAAAGCTAACAAAAATGCTGATTATTTAAGAAAATTGCTTCATTATCAACACCCTTTAATAAATGTCAAGCTGTCAGCTGTTTTTTATTATTTTGAAACCGTAACTTGCGAAAAAAAAGAATATTTTTTCGTATAGTTACTTAATTTATTAAAATTTCACTAAAATAGTAAAGATTTTGAAGAGATTTCATTGAAAAAATGGAATTTATACACGAAGGCATTGCATTGGGTGTAGATTTACTAATTTTAGGTTTATGTGTTAAGGAATATGTTAGCTACAAAAAAAGTGTTAAATTGCTAAAGGTAAGTGAACATGATTATTCTAAAATCTTACATGCCATGGGCTCCCAAATGGGGTTCCACAGCAACATAACGAAAACACAATGTTCCGCTAAGAAGCCTGAGTTCAATAAGTAACATTAGTAATAATTAAAATATCCCTAAATTTTAACTTTCCTTATTGATGATTGTAAATGATTCGACTAGATGAAAGTAGCAGGCATACAATAGAAAGGAATGTTCTAAATTCCATATTGTGAAGCAAGTATTGTATACTATCTACATTCATGTTTATTTTTCACCAATAAAATATAATTTATACGGCAACAATCAAAGAACAAAATAAAATAGAAAAACTCAGCTAAATGATTTCAATAATTTTTGAAATGTTTCTGTGGCTTTCATACAACTGTATATTCGAATAGTGAAATAGTGATCTTTAACTAATACAAAATCGATTCAGCTAAAAGATTTTTAAAGACGTTCTAAGTTCCTAAAGACATTATTGTTAATTTTACATTGCAGACAGCACCTCAACTATCTATAGATAATGATTTAAAGGATTTTGTGGCTAGACAAAAAGATAAAAAAGTACCATATGCAGTGGTACGTGGTACCGTAACACCCATTGGTGTACCAATGCGTAGTGTTATGTCTCCATCAGTGACGGGTGTATTGCAAGTGATAAAATTAAGGTAAATAATAAATAAAATGTATAAAATAAAATTCTGCTTAAAAAATCTTTACAGCGAACATCGTGTTGCCCGAGGCTTTGCCGGCTTTTGGTCAGAACAACGTAAACTCATACATGTCTCCTCCAACGAAATGCCCTTCGAGTTAACCAATAATGGTTCTGGCGTTGAGGTAGTCGACGCCCTATCCGCCGCAGTACTCGATATGGATGTAGTCTATGATAATTATGAACCCTCCTCCCTCTCATTTTTCGATCACATATTTGGCTTCTTTTCGGGTATACGTCAAAAAGGTCTACAAACAACTGAAGAAGTTCTAAGGGATGGTAGTTTTATAACAGCTGTTGGTGAACTCGAGCTAGATGGTAAAACGTTGCGTTTGCAGCCCTCACCCTTGGGACCTCTCTTTTTGACTACATCAACCAAATCAACGCTAATTAAGAAATTTGAAGAGGCTAAAAATTCTATGCTATTTAAAATATTCGTTTGTGGTTCGATATCGGCAGTATTGATCACTATAATTGTACGAAAGATTTATATGAAAAAGAAGCAGGAACGTGATGAGAGACGTATAAGAGAAACATTGGAAAAGGAACGTAAAGAGAGGAGAGCTAAATCGCGTCCGGTTAATTTGACGCCTGATCAATTGTGTGTGGTGTGCAATATTAATCCCAAAGAGGTGAGTTTTTTGTTTTTTTTTATTAAAAATTCTAATATAAAAATATTATATATACACATATGTATATACACATATATATATTATACACAAAATTATACAAAAAAGTTTGTATAGAAAAAACTGTTTTTTTTATCTTCTTTACAGGTCATTATTCTACCCTGTGGTCATGTTTGTATTTGTGAAGATTGTTCGGAGAAAATCAAAATGACTTGTCCAGTTTGTCGTGGTAAAATTAATACACGCGCTGCTGCCTTCATATCGTAATGTTGCAGCAGGATCAACTGCAGCTTAATTTGAAAATTAAATCTCCAGCTTTCGCCCTCCTCCTCTACCCAACAACACAAAGAAAAATGCAAAAAACAATTTAATTTATTTTATCATGTACATACAATATATAAAAAAGAACAAATGAAACCAAAATCAAAACGAATAAACAACTAACCAAACTACGTAAGTTTAATCAAAATTAACTGAATTTCTAAACATATTATTAAATGCTTTCAAGATTTATTTGAGCTAAGAAGATTTCTTACATCATATCCTTGTATTTATATTGGTCCTTTAACATTTCCAAGAAAACTAGATATTTACGTTCGTGAAAATCTTTAGTGCCAAATTGTGGTATAATCAATTTACCCGTACCACCCATAGCAGCCGAAGCAGATTCTAAATTTTCATAAACTTTAGCAGCACAAGCACCCAACATAGCAGATCCCACTAAAACCATTTCCTGTTCATCGGGTATTAAAGCTGGCAATTGGCAAATATCCGCATGACATTGTACATAAAGAGCATTTTTAGATAAGCCACCACAGAAAAGTAAAGTGTGGAAGGGCACTCGTTGATGTTTGAGCAAATTATCAATGATGTGTCGGGTACCGTACTATAAGGATTTACTAACATTATTATTGCTACAGAGGTAATTCGTTATCAAATTGCTTACCGCTAAAGCTTGTACAAAAGCTAAATATAAAACAGCCAAAGATTCCTCATCTACATTCATATTGAGACCGGAAATCTAAAACATAATATTTTAATTAGTTAAATCCGCAGCAGAATATTTAAAAGCCATACCATTCCTTTTAAATTGGGATTAGCTATGGGAGAACGATTGCCATGGAAATCTGGCCAAACATGCAAATCTTTAGTCATATAACACACATCATCCAGGCCCCGTTCCTTGGCCATATTTTTTAGTAATCTATTCAGATAGCTATAGATATGCCTAAAAGAAAGTTTTGTTTATTTTTTCCATTTCTTTT